CCCTCTTCTTCCCTCTGACAAAAAAAAATAACCAGCCACCAAACAGTGGAAGGTTCACGGCAGTTTTGTTGATGGTTCAGAGTATTAAAATCACCTCTGCTGAGGAGAGCTTAAATTTGGACTCCTGACTCTTTTGAGTGATTTGGCAAAGTCACTGTGGAACACTTAAAAATGCCGATTGATGTCAATTCACTCCTGTGAAAATCTGGATAGTTTGTTCTTGCTGTGTGCAGAGATGGGAAGAGAAAAGACTGTTGTTGAAGATATTGACGATATTTCCGCAGTAATTAAGGACATATCTTACTGTCTTAAGTGATGAAGTTGTGCTAATATATCAAAGGGGAGAAATGAATGAGTCATTCCAGCAGCTCAGATCTGGGTCAAATCTGTGGTTCTGCTGTGGTAACCCAACTTGGGCCTGTCTCCAGGTCTGCCTGTGGTGCCTCTGCAGTTCTAATATGGGATTGGGGTGGGTAGAAGATGGTGTAAGCAAAGATACTGTTTGGCTTGCAGAAGTTACTGATGATACATAGACCTCAGAATCATAGCTTGACCCCTAGACTGCGTTTGCAGAATTCAGTTTAGCAAATTCAACTTGGAACCCAGTAACAACCAGGGGATTTGTAAGTACATCCTCCTGTTATGTGAAGTTCCCACTTACAATCTGGACATCATTCTTGCAGAGCAGTCATCAAATCAGGAACTTCATCCTCAATTTCAGGGGCTTTTTTTCAGCCTTTCTGTAAAGTAGCATTAATTCAGCCACCAGCTAGGTACTCCTACGAGAACATAGTTTTGTGTTGTCATAGGGGCTTATTTGTATCTCTGGAAAGAGAGAAGTCTTAGAAATGTAATAATTATCTGTCTAATTATATCTCTTTTAAGCATTCACTTTATTTAGGCAATGTTTTATCCTTATAGGGAAAAGCACACCGTGACCACCAGCTTGTGTTACTCAAGGAGCACCTAGAAAAATATTACAGGAGCCGCAATCGGAAATGGATTGTTTTATTTCCAGAGGGTGGCTTTCTTAGGAAAAGGAGAGAAACAAGCCAGGCATATGCCAAGAAAAACAATTTGCCATTTCTTAAACATGTCACCCTGCCAAGACTTGGGGCAACACAAGTAATTCTGAACACACTTGTAGCGCCGCAAGAAAATGGAACTCCAGCAGGTGGAGACACTGTGATAAAAGGTAAAGACCACTTCATTCTTGTGGATAAAAAGCAAGTTGAATGTCCAAGATTTGAGTTAAGCAAAATATTTTGTGTTGAATTTGTCTCTTTAAGTGTTAAATATGTTCATAATGCACCATCATATTTATATGAAAGTTTTAGTATTTGCTTTTAGTTCCACTAAGTTTGTTTTTTATGCTGAAACACACCCAAAAAAGAAAAGCTTAGTTTTAATTTGGTTTAGCCTACAGTGTGGCTGCATGAATGTTTGTCTTGGTATACATGATGGGTAGAGCAGGTACTGGAATGGGCACCTGGAGTGGGCAGGAAGGTGGGCTGCTACTTTCAGCAAGATAGGTGGTTTGCACTGGTTCATGATAGCGTGGAAGTATAGTAAAAGTATTTCTCCAATATGCAAGCTATGTTCAAATTTTTATTCCTGGCTTTAGAAGTTTCTTTGCATCCAGTACTGTATAATTCATTGCTTTCCCTGAACTGTTTTGTATTGAGTTCATGTTCTTCTGTACAGATTTTTGTGATGACTGTCCTGTTTGTTGCTGGAGTTAACTGTCACTGATGACTAGATTTGAGGGATTGTTTTGGCTGTCTTGTTAGAAGAGTTATGGGGGAATAAGAATATTCCTGCAGCATTATGGTTCTGGGGTGCCTGGCCTGTAGGGGAGAGTATGGCTGGGATATAAATAATGCCTAAAGATAGGGGACTTAGTGCTTTATGTCTCTCAGTTTTTACAATTAAGTTCTTGGCACATTCAGAGAGTGGGGTTAGAGCCTAGTTGTGGATTTCTGTTGTTAATTATAGAAACAATGGTTTGGGAGCTTGTGGTGGTTTCTTGTTGGTGGGTGGTGCTGGTATTGCCATAGCCAAATTATTATAATCGTTCAGCAGTTTGAACCAAAGATCCATCCTAATGAAGCCACATATGCAGATGACACTGGGTTTTTTCTGTGCTGAAGTTCAAATTTCAGGGTTAGCAAGAAGCCTTCTACAGAAATTGCTACCAGATTTTTAGTTTTGAAGATAACGTAGTCAATGAATGGAGATTGTGTTCTTGCAGGAGTGGAGGGAGTATTTTAAATTAACTGAAGATCAAGCTGTGGAATGCATCAGAATATCTCCCTTCAGCCTGCATTCAGCAAAGAGAGGCTCAAGGAAGCCTTTGTTGTCTTAGAAGATTTTAGGTTTAAAAAATTGAAACAGAATGCCCAAGACCTTGTTAGAAGTTATGTTTTTTAAGGATAAAAGTTTGTCCTATTCCTATTCTCTTTCTTCCTGTCTCAAAGGCAAGAAGGCATGAAAAGTAAGAATTTCCCCAAGTGAATAACAGGCCTGCTAGTTCTGGAAGGGGACCAAAAGCACGTGTCGAATACCAGTTTTATATTTTCATACTCTTAGATTGCTATTGACTTAGGGGAACAAACCTGGCACTTTTTTTTTTTTTTTTTTTGAGTGGCATGATTCAGAATCTGGGTAAATGAGCATTTGACAGTAGTTGACCTAACTGGGTACTAAAATACAGGAATTGTCTCAGAAATACTGTGGAACCACATCTGTCCATCCTACTCAAAAGACAGAAGGAAAGATAAGTGGGCAAAAATAGGAAAGAAATATATGGTTTCAGCTATCATTCTGTCTGAGTAAAAGAGTAATGGACATGAAAACATAAAAGGGATGAAAAAGAGAAGAAAAAATAAATTTTATATGCTAGGAAAGAGTAACTTTTGGTACATGTGAAGCTGAGGTATTTTAAGTCCTCTTAAGCTCACAAAAATGTTTCTAGCACAGTAAAACTTCCCTTTCAGAGACGTACAAAAGGTTAATTCTTGACCTATATCTTGTATAAAAGAGTCTTCCTCCAATCTTCTGCCTTCCACATGCTTTTACTGTACTCTTGCCACTTCACTAAGTTTTGAAAAATGTTTGTTCAGTTGAATGAAATAGAATTGAATAAATTGATAAGATTGTATTATAAAGTGACAAGTCGTGTTTCTTTTTCTTCTCTTTTATTTTTCCCTTTTTTAAAATATATGGAAGAACCCATCTTGGTCAAACTTGTCTGTATCCTCTTTAGGTTGTAATAATTGGGTTGTGGGTGCTAGAACTAAATGCAGTGAAGGTTTTGCCATTGCTTTGTGTAGAGATTGCGCATAAACTTTCTGTACTTTGTTACTGTACTTCTTTGCTTGGGAAGTGGTGTTTTCATCAGTAGCATCGCACTTGAACTTCATGGTTCACTGAAAACGTTTTTACTCTGCACCACTTCTTGTGCTCTGTACTGTTGTATTTAACTATGTTCTTGGTGTCCTGGGTTACCAAATTATTCAGCTTACTATAATAAGCTTTCTTCTCCATTATTTGTCATTCTCTCAAATATTTTTCTACAGCCAAGCTTTACTGATAATTATGGGAGTTTACCTCCCTCCTCCACTCGATTTTACTTAAATTGGTTTATAGATTAAGTGTAACTCTTCCTCATCAGAAATTATGTCCCCTTCCCCTGTTCTGTTATGTCAGAACACTTAGTCTCTGACACAGTAGCAAGTACAATGTTTCTTCAGTTAATAAGAATTGATCTTCTTGTGAGTTTTAGAACTAGCAAAATGTCCTAAATGCCAAACAGCTGGCAAGTCAAGGGAGTTTGGAGCAGTTGTTCACCAAAGATGTGTGTTCTAGAGCTTACTTTTGATCGACCTTGCTCTAGTATGTTTTAAAAATTCTGCTTTATTTTACCATGCAGCAATTTTTGGTCTGATAAGAGATTGATGTGAGCTTGGTTAGAGCCATATTGAAATCTTACCTTACTGTTTTCAAATGCAGCACAGTACATTCAGTTCTGATGCTTTTTCTCAGAGAAATTCAATTTTCCCTTCTACAGAGCTGGACATCTCTCTTATATGAGGAATGTGACTTGAATAACATGTGGGAAGGCTTTTTTATGTTGTGGGAAAGGGGCTTCTTGTTTTGTTCCAGGTGATTTGCTATAGAGAGATCTTGGTATGATGAGTGAAACATTCAGTCTGAGAGCTAGTCTTTGGGGAAAAAAGTTAATTTTAAGGTCAGTGGTCCAGTTGATCACACGAAGACAAGTTACAAGAATGCATTGATATGCAGCAGGAGGCAACAGCCTCTTTTGGCTACATTTAGAGTGGTGTAAGTGTTCCGGAAACCACACCTGAATACTAGTGAATGCTAGTAAATATTTTCTTTTCCAAGTGCAAGCTGCGGTCCTCAGGTTTCTGCCTGGCTGGTGCATTCTTTTCCACTCCAGATGCAATTTGGCATTGTCGCACCATCCAGAGCTCAGTTAGAGGCGAGGTTTCCCGCTTTTTTATAACTTGCTCTTTTTCTCAGTGGTAAACACTGACGGTCCACTGGCAGGTTTGAAGAATCCTGTGCATGGTCAAATCCAGATTTTAGCATTGGTTGAGAGCAACCCCAGGGAGGACAGCAGGGACAAAGAGAGGCTCTGACCACACTCAGTTTGTGACTGTAGACAGTCAAGTACCTGCTGTGAGAGGACCATAGAGGATGGCAGAGCACTGAATGTCTTGAAAACACTGATGGTCTGAATCCACAGCTAGAACAAAAATAAGGAAGAAAATAGTTATGAAGTTTTGCCTCTGCTGGTGATTTAAAAAAAACATAAATTAGGAGACTTTAAATTTTATTCTGGTTTTTTTTTTTGTCTAGGTCAGTAAGCTACTGTTACATGTGATTGTTCAGTCTCATAAGGCAAGTATGTACCATTCGTACTAAAGTACATTATTACTACGTGGTTTGGATGAAACTGTGTAGGAGAGATGCCTGCAGGCCTGTTTCAAATGTTTATGTGCTATTTAAAAAGAATCAGACTGCTGACATTTTGAGGCAATTTGAGAAATCAAAATCCTTCCCCTGTGCTGGAAGTGACAAGCAGACTGGTGCCACAGAAGAAAAACAGGTCCTCGAAGAGATCAGCTTAAATGCGTCTTCTGCAGCAGTTTCTTCTGCTGAAGTCTTTGGCAGCCAGGCTGCTCAGTGTTTCAGCAGGTACTAGAAAAGAAGGATGAGGGTGTCTTTTAGTGGTAGGTAGAAAGTTCAAAAGATTTTGGCTGTCAGAAACATCTGTGGCTGTGTTGGCCAAGCCAAACTTGGGAAGAGGAGTCCTTGAACAGCTACACTCAAATTTTTTTTTTTTTTTTTTTAAGCTACAAATGACAGACCTGAGATTCACACCCTATTTTAACTACAGTAGCAATCTTTCCGTTCTGAGTTCCTTTCATCTGCTCCATTTAAAAAATAGTAGGGTTTGTTCTTGTTCAAAGGTCTGCTTATGCTTGAAAGCGGCATCCTCAGGCATACTGAGGTCCTGCCCCTTTCTGTTGTGCACAGTTGTCTGTTTCTTTTGCAGTTTCAGCTTTGTGGCTTTAAAATAAATAAGCTCATGAGCAGGACACAACAACAGTATAACTCCCCAGAAGGGACAGCAAGATCTATTTCAAAATTAACTTTCTGAAATCCTTAGTGACTTAGGTTTTTTTGGCAGTGTGAGACCTCGGATGATTATGTAAGGCTTATTTTAAACCAGAACGTGCAGAAATATGGCTGTGACTGTGATTTGATAGCACATTTTGGTAATTGCACGTGGAGGCAGCTGTGCTAAGACTTGCTTGCTCTAAAGGAGGGTCTATGGAGGCTGACGTTACCTTTGGCCTTTTGTTTTTTCCTCTAACCTGGGGTTCCTGGTGGGCTCTCAGAGGCAGGTTTTTCTCCCCTCCCTGCCCTGGAAGGGGCTGGAGGTGAGACTGGAGATGTTATGAGGAATCTCTGCAGTGGCTCTGCTCCACAAAAGCGAAAGGTCGGAATTCAGCACAGAAGAGGACTGCGGGAGTCTTCCCCTAATGAAGTTTGAACCATTATCCACTGAAAGAGCAGTCTGAAATACTAACTAAATAGTTAATAAATTATTTTAAAACACTTTACTGTAAACAATAAGATAATGTGCCCATATTAACCTGGCACTTTTTAATTGCAATTGATGATCTTTGTTGCTTACTCACTTAGACAATTTACTTGCCCTTATCCATTCTTACTTTACATCTGGGAAAATAATAAATTGAATGGCTTTGTTCCGAAATCCATTTCTAAATAAATACTTCTGTGGATTTACTATTAATTTCATATTGGCTTTTCTCTAATAGGTTGCTACTTTTAAAATGAAGGACTCTGTAGGTAGTGCTTTTCTTAAGAGAGACTTGACAAGCACTCTGTCATGATGCTGGCAAGCCTGGAGCCTCTAATGGTACCTCGTGTTCTCATTTCACGTGTCTGTCAGGATTTTAAAATACTGTATTTCTACAAGGTGACACAAGATGTTTCAGCTTGACCTGTGTAGCTGGCACTTGGTCAAATTTTGGAATAGTGCATTGCTTGCTACTAATAACTCATAGCCTAAATATTAGGCAATACTGTCTGGCCTTATTCAGGCAGTGTATTTGCATTTGTAATGAAGCAGTACAGCTCCATTGTTGAGTAGACCCTGTGAAAACACTAGTTGCTTGCTAAAATAATTGATAGATATATGTGATAGCATTGCTGTAATTGTCTTCTCACACTTAATTTAATTTAAATGCAAATTAAATGAAATGCATGTAGGAACTCGCAAGTCAGTCCTTGCATGTTCAGGTACGTAGCAGTTGGCATTAACGACGGTAGCTTTTAGAGTGCGTCTCAGACTGTGTCGCAGATTTTTTCATGTGTGCAGTAGCTTTTCTGTGAAATCTGAGTGACGATTTTGGGCAAGACCAAACATCTCTGTAGCCCAGTATCTTCTCCATGACTCCAAGTGGATATCAGAGGAAGCATGTGAATGGAGCGAGCACTCTTCTCCCACATACTCGCCTAGCTTCTGACTGTTTCCAGTGTGGTGGGTTTCCCCAGCCAGATGGGGGTTTCTGCCCGTTTTGTTAACCCTCCAATGCATTTCTTCCATGTACTTGTCTAATTTCCTCTAGATCCCAGCTATCAGCATCCTTGACATCATTTGGCAAGGGGTTCCCCGCAGTTTTATTCCAGTCTGCACAAAGAATTATTTCTTTATTTGCTTTGAAAAACTTTTCCTTTTGGCTTCATTTTGAATATGTCTGTTCTTGTATTGACAAAGATGGTGAGCAGTCTATCCTCATGCTCGTTCTTCATGCCCACAGTGTGTTTTGTCAACCTCTATCATATTTCTTTGATGGCTATCTCAGCTGCAGGCTTGAAGTCTTGTACTTTGTACTAAAACCTAACACCTCATACATGCTTCTGCCAACAGGTGGCTGTTTTTAATAGTCAGCTTTTTAAATCCTTGAAGACATTGCTGGGTATGATGTAAGCATATTACTATACCAGTGTATTAAGCGTTAAGTAAGCGTGTTACTATACTGGCCCGAACATAACATGACCTCAGATACAAGGCAGCTCCAGTTCCCACAGAACAGATATAAAATTGATAAGCTAAACTCAAAGTGCCATTTTGGCAATGTGCCCCTCCCTCCTGGTGTGCTTGACAGATCTGCTGCTCTGGCTCTTTGCAAACCTGTGAATTGAAGACATGCAGAGAAGTCGTGACTGGTTGATATCTGACTTTAACTGTTGCTGGTAGTAACCTGTGTTCAGGTTTAAACTTGACTTTCCTGTTAATAGCCCTAAATAATCTTCATAGCAACTATTTTCACCTCCTTTGAATTTTTTTTCAGTTTCTAAATACGCCGAGGAGCATATGAGCATGTACTTCACATCAGTCTTTCTGGGACCTTGTGGATGCATCTCCTCTCCATTGTGAAAACTGACCATCTTCTGTTTGTTGCTTTCTTGTGTTTAATACTCAAAGTATTTCTTCTTTATCCTGTAACTCAAATTTTGAAGAACTTTTTAGGGATTTTCTTAAAAAATGTCTTTGAAAATCAAACTACGCTGTATGGCATAAATCACCTTTATCCGCTTGCCGCACCCCGGTAGTGGGGATCTGTGTGGCTGTTGCTTCATCAGTGATCTGCAGCTGCGAGCTCTTATGAAGGCCCAGTTGTAAATGTGTTTGCAGTGCAGACGAAGAAAGCTGGATTTCTATTTTTGAAGTTCTCATTCTGGTGAATGGGGGGAAGCACCTGACATTTGGGCTAACATGTTACGTGACAATACTCATACCGAGCGAGTGAGCTTTGTTCTGTGCTACAATATGTAAGAAAGCAGAAATAACCGTGAAAGTAAAATCTTGGTCTAGCTGAAGTTTGTAAGAGTATTTCTGTGCTCTGTAGTGAAATCTGGATTTGATTTTTGTCTGTCTTATTTTATTTGTGCCTCATACCTCATGAAACAATATAAAAATGGAATAACTATCAAATGAGTGACATGCACTTTCTGCTTACTTTAAAGATCACATTTCTTCTTGTTCTAGAGAGCAAATCAAAAGGCCTCCAGTGGGTGATAGATACAACCATTGCATATCCAAAAGGTGAACCTATAGACATACAAACTTGGATTCTTGGCTACCGACAACCAACAGTTACACATGTACATTACAGGTAGGAAATAAACTTTCTACTCCTACATTGAAATAAAATATTAAAAAACTAGTATTCACCAATTCGTAATGTCATGTTTCAGGATATGGGACATCAGTAGCAATGTCTTTTTTATGTGCATCTCACAGGTGAGCAACTCGTGTCATCTAAACACAGCAGTTTTCTTTTGAGAAGTTCAGTGACCATTCCATATCTTAGAACATTTAATTTTTTGACTAATGTCCTGTAGCTGAATATAGTTATGCGGAATATATTTGATAATACCTAATCATAGGGCCTGTGGCAGTGTATATGTAGCTGCTGGTGCTTTTTCCTTCCACAGTGTTCGTTGCCGTACATCTACTAGTATTGAATTTCATCTGCAACTATTGTCAGGCCCTTCTGCAACTCTGACTACCCAGAATAATTCCATACCAAAAAAGTCAGATCACTACTGAATCCTTTTTGCCAGATTTAGTGTATCATCTAGCTGTGATATGCTAAGACCTCTCAGTGTGTCTGGAATTAGAGCTATAGTTTGGAAGGAATAAAGTGAATTTTCACCTTCAGTGGTTTTGACAATAAAATTTATTTTTAGATATCTTTGCGTCGTTTTAAAAATATTCTTCTGTTTTAGGTAAAAGATATATTTATCCGTGGCAGGATTAGCAGAGAGCGACTGAACAGCATGTGTACATGAATTAATTCATGTTGCATCATCCTTTTCTATTGCTTATACAGAAGTTTTCCTGTTGGATTCCCGTCAGGGCATTACAGCAACTGTGTATTTCTTTTTTTTCCCCCCAGATCACCTGACTTTACTCATTAAGGGTTTTTTTTTTTTTTTAGAAGACTGCTCTAATGTGATGGGTACCTTCAGGATTTTGACGACTTTAAATCATGTATTGATGATTTGATGATGATTTGACAGCTCTGCTGTCACTTTATCGAACCTTCTCCAGGACTGGGAAGCCAGACAACTGAAGCCCAGTGGGCTGACGTGAATTTCTTAGACATCATTTTTGAAATTATTGGCAGGGCTAGTGGAAGACGCTCTCCCAGGAGCGTTGTATGCAGTCCTCCTAGATCTCTAGTCCTTGCTTGTCTGAAAATACAGTGATGGCTCAACTCTGTTGCCATGTCAGACCTTAATCAGGCATAGGTACGGAAAGACATCAAACCCCTTTATGCTGGTTAAACAGTGTGTGCTGCCAACAGCTGTACTTTGTGACCAGCCAGCTGATCCTTGCCACATCAGCCTCCTTCCTCTCATCCCTGGCACTTCTGTTTGGCAATGCAGAGCTGCCTTTTCATGTGCTGGAAAGTGTCCTGGGAGGTTTCTGTGCAGTGCTGCTCCCTGAGAGCTGGTCAAGCTGCAGGGTGGAGGACCTGTGTAGCTGTACGGCTTGATCAGGAAACTTAAAGCCCTTTTTTGAGTTCATCTTCCATGTGGAGGCCGAAACATTGCTGTAACAGAGCCATTAGAGTATCTGGGGTTGTCAGCTGGGAATGCCGGTGCTTATTCTGCAGATCACAAATTCGACTTGGTTCCTTATTAATTTTTAATTTTGAAAACAACTGGGTATTAACTGCTCTTTGTCCTTAACAGTGTAGGCAAGGATTAAATCAGTGACTGAGGTTTGAAAAGGTCTGTGCTGTGCTGAGCCCTGGGATGTCCCTTGTAAAGTTGGTGCATTTCTTTAACTCTCTGAAATAAACTCAGTTAGTAAAGGAAAACCCAAGGTAAAGTGGACTTAATCTTTTAAAAGATGGAAATGTCAGAAATGTCTTCCAAAGATGGAAAATGTCAGAGGTGTTTCTCTTTTTTGGCATTTGACATAGATGGCCTCTGAAATTGTCATGAAACGTATACTGAATATGTCTGGATTCTTCTTATACCCCCCTTTTCCTTCATTTAGTGTAGTAAAGTTTTGCTCATTGTTAGTAACTTGGAATATTTTGGAGAGATTACATTTGAAATAAATTTTAAGGATAGTTTTTAAATAACTGGGGAGAAAGTTCTGCATGAATCTGTGTGCTCTAGCGTGCTAGTTTCTCATTTATTGTTTCTTTTGACTGAGTTATAGAAAAAATAATAATTACCAAAAAAAGCCTCTTGGGAAAAAGTAAACAATACTTTTCACCAGATGCCATCCCTGCTGTATGAAAGGAGAATAGAGATTTTAAAATGTTTTTCCCCTTTTAGAATGAGGAACTGATGTATGGCAGCAATGGGGGGAAAAAAGCAAGATTTTCTGTTACTTGAACTGGAGCAGAGGAGACTGCAGAGCCTCTTCTGTTCTGGTTGCTCGGTCAGTCCTTTCTGCTATTCCTCTTGGTCACAACCTGTCTCTTTCTGCCTTACGGTCTTTCATATCCAGTGATTTCCTTTTCTCATAGCCTATCCTTTTACTGCAGGATTATTTCTTTTTCATCCTACTTAGGAAGCAACAGAGGAATGTAGAGGACACAGCAACCAGCTTTATGTTTTCATTTTTAGGTGCTTTTCTAGCTGATGGAAATGGTGTAAAAGGTTCAGTTTAATCCAGTAGTCTTTTTTTGTTTGAAAACTCAATTTTTATAATGAGTGGAAGCTTGCTTTTTGAACCTCAGTTTTCTGCACAAATGACGTGTTTTTCAGAAGTTTATAGTTAGGCTAAGCTGTGGCCTGATTTTCCTCAGGATGTCAAAAGACACTTCCCTAGAAAAAAGGAGAATTACCAAGATTCATGTTCTTCAAAATACGAAGGTGTGAGAACTTAACCTTTCTACCTACCAAATCATTTTTTGACTATGACAGACTTGTCTCAAAATGCATTGGAAAGTGCTGAAAAAACCTGGGTTTGCTTTCTGAAACGCAATACTCAAGAAAAGTATCTAATTATCTTCTTCCAAGTCAAATGGCACTGGGATTTTCTGGGAAATTTCAACCCATCTGTTAAAGCAGTAAGCACAAAAAAAAAAAGGACTGTAAGGTGCAAGGCATCTCTAACTAGAGGCATCACTATGAGATTTGCCTTTTAATGAGTCTGTTGGAAAGGTTTGTTTCCTCTTCTCAGAATAGTTTAGCTTTATGCTTGGATCACTTTGTGATGTGCATTGACCATAGATGCAGATTCACTGCATTTACAGTTCTGAGTGGTTTGGTCTCTGTGTAGCAAGACCACATACTGGCTACTGTTCTCAGCTCCCCCAGTTTCCCCACGGTCAGTTGAGTTTGGGGATTGTTTCTTCTCTTCTTACACCAGCCACTTCTTTAGTCTAACTGACTTGGTGTTTCTCAGCTGGTCTTCAAGTTTCTCTGATCGTAAGATTTCCCATGTGCTGCAGTTCTGTTGTCAAAACCCAAGAGTTAAAAATTGCAAAACCCCAGGTATGAAGTTTGTTCAATGCTTAGCTTCCCTTCAGTCAACAATGGCATGGGGTTGGGTTTGGTTTGCGTTTTTTGGTTTTTTTTTTTGCACTATCTCCCCGCTGTGTCATGCCCGTGTATGACCATATCCCACGTTTGCACTGTGTGATAGTGATTGTGGTGCAGAGCCCCAAAGTCAGGGCCAGTCGTAGTTGCCTCCACCGCAGTGGAGAGCTGCATTTTATGCTGCATGAACGTACCACACTATTTCCAGCTAACTCAGCTCTCCTTGTGCCATAATGCGGATGAGTATATGTCACCTTTCTTTCTTGTACCAGTTTTTGTTCTGTGCTGCTGTTGAAATGAGCTTTCAGCTACTGAGGAAGTTCTTTTTTTGTGTCTACGTTAATACAGATTTATTGAAATAAACGCGTCTCCTAGCTATAAATAAGATGGAATACATTGTGGTTGCTGAGTGAGTTTTGCAGGAATGTCTATGAAGAGCATGCAGTTTGACAATGTATTTTAAGATGCTTTTTTACGCAAGTGTCTTATTTTGAGTTATGCCTGAGATCTCCCAACAACCTCCATCATGTTGAGTTTATTTAAAGAGTCATTGAAACAGCAAATAATATGATTTAGAAAGAGTAGGGGGTAATAAAGAATTTTAATTCAGGGTAGGACAGATGATGAATGGCAATTAGTACTTAAAGGTGGTATCGATGAACTTCAGAATTTTAATACAGAACCAGAGGTTGTTTCTCCAATAAAGACTGTTTAAAAGAGATTAAGTATTTCTGAAAATGATTTATTTCTTCAAATTATTTCGTGTCTTTTGAGAAATGACCTATCAGTAGGTAAGTCTCCATGATTTCTTATGTATGCCAACATGTCTTTGGCAGTTACATCTCCTTGTTTAAGAATCATTTTTTCTTTCCTGGGCCGTCATTTATGCTAATATATTCTGGTCTGGGACATAGATACACATTTGTGTAGTGGTTTAAGAAAGTTGCTGTTCCTCAATCAGTTACGTGGTGTGTCCCACGGCCATTGTCACCTTGCAGCTGCTGATAGGCAACCTCCAGGTAGAAGATACTGGTTCATTACTGAGCATTGCAGACTCCCATTGGAGTATGTCTTTACTTCCACCACCACTTGTAACTTCTCAGGGTGCAGCCTGGGGTGGCACTGCTTTTATTGAGGTTTACACCCCTGTCTCTCCCTCCCTGTGATGATAGCAAAGAAGCTCTTCCCTTGAGAAATTAAAGAAAGAGATCATCTGTGTAGATAGTTTCGTAACAGTAGACTTTCTCAGTTATCTTTCCTGAACCCAATCTCCTTGAAGAGGGTGTTCTTTTAAAACACAGATGCCAGCTGAGCCATCTGATGGGCAAAGAATGATGATATTGGCAGTATGTTTAGTATCAATACAGGGAGGTTTAGCTTCACCTTACCTAGTACAGGAAGGACTTGTTCCACAGTTTAAAGATTTTATTATTTTTTTTAAGAAAAACATTTCATCTGTAAATTATCTCAGTCATTAATAAGAATGTTCCACTTGTAAAAGTAACTCTGGATAATCTAAAAATGTGTTTGAAAATGCTTCTCAATACACCAGTACTTACCACTGCTAAATTTTGACAGCCAGTGTAGCATTATTGGAAAACCCGTTGTCTTCCCCTCTGCATTAATATTCATTCGAAATGGGTGTAACAGTGATTGCTGCTTAAACTTCTAAGAAGCAGAGTTTACATCCAGAGATTCAACTATTCTGTTACTGTATTGATTCATACAAGAACCTGGATGGATTCAAGCAGGAAAGCCGCATGCTGCATTCCATTACTCGCTCACAATACTGGTGTCACTTATGCTACTTTGCTACTCTGCTGAAGTGCCAGCTCATAAAAATGTTTCTAATGAGTATCTTCTAAGATCTTCTGATAATGTTTTTAGACTAGTAGGTACATCCTTGGAAAAATATCAGATTTATCTAGGTTATTGAGCTGTAGAGTTGTTACCCATTGGGTAAATGAGAAGTGAAGGTGGAGGTGAAGAAGATCTGCAGCTTACGATGGAAACTGCATTATGAAGCGAGGTAATCCTAGACTTCTGTCCTGAGCCCACACATACATTCTGCTAGTTCTGAACCATCTTCGAACTTGCATAAGCAAGCATCTGTCCTTCAAAAATACACTGTGAAATGCAGTGTTCATTTGTGGAGTCCTTTTTGTCTCTTTGCAGCAGATAGGCAGAAGAGTAAAAATAGTGCATGGCAGCTTGGTTGTGTTAGGGGACAGAGAGTAAATCTTTCTTAGTGTTACACTCTCAACAAAAATGGTCCTTTCTTTGTGGGTGTAATTTTAATGTGTACAGTGTCTGGGCTTCAAGATAAAGTAGTTCTTTATTACCTGTCTTTGCCATTGTTCCTAATATGCACGCTGAAGACTTGAGCTATTTACTGGACCACCAACTATTTCATAATATTATCTTCACCCAAAGACTTCTCTTCAAACTGTATTTTACCTGAGGTAACAGTTGCTAATTTCTGCTTCCTGAAACCAGCTTTTCTAGAGCACAGAGAACTCTGCAGTGTGAGAACGACCTAGGTAGAATTGCTACAAAAGCTACAGAAATATCTGAGTTTATGTTGACGCCATAGATAGTAAATAGAATTGTTCCTCTCCTTGCATCGAAGTTATCTCTGTATACCGAGGCACCTGTATTTCTACTTCACTCATTAGAGCAACGCTTTGCTGCTTTTCTCCTCCACTTGCAGTTCATTTTTCCGTGCATCAAACTGAAAGGAGGAGGTACAAATGACTTGGCAACAGAGCAAGCAAAGCTGTTGAAAAGAGTAACAGCAGCAAAAGTATTCTTCAGAAGCATCTTATTTCTGTAGTCTGACATTCCTGTATCTGTTCAGACACTTCCCACATGATTGTAGTGTTAATTTAAATTCTTGTCAGTATAATCAATCAAAACTGTATTTAAAAAGAAATTAAATGAAAAATCCACTAATGAAAATAGAAGCATTGCATAGATGACAGGGTAAATGGGAGCTCACCTGAAAAGAGAAACCTACAGTAAAGGTCTTGCATTTCTGACTGAATTTTTCAGGCTAGCTGGATACACAAATCTCTTCTGCATTGGCCTCCCAGTGAAGCATAGTGGATATCCAAGTTCTCATATATATCAAAAGGCACTTAGGGTCTACTGAGGAGGTTTCACAGTTACTGTAAGACTTGAAATTCTATTTAGAAAAAAAATCCAGTGGGGTGTGATGGGCTACTTGGGGGTTTCTGTAGGTATGTGTCTCAGTGAATTCTGCCCTGGATATCTGATTTTCTAAGTAGACCTAGTATTCAGTGTGGAAGTACCAAAACACTGGTAATTCTTCCACTGGGGTTTTTAAAACAGAGCAGCAATATTTGAGCACACTTACATGGTCAGTTTTCAGTGTAAAACCTGCTTTAGAAGTTTCGGACAAAGATGCTGGCATCCTTTGAGAAGCAGAGAGGACTTGTTTTCTGGGATACAGAAGAGCTATTGGTACTTAGTGATGTTGTTATGTAACTTCTGCCTGTTGAAGAACTGTTTCTTCAAAACTGGGGATGAACCTGCTCAGTCTCTTACTGCTTTTGGTTTCAGTGCATGAACTTCATTGCTTCTTGGTTTGTATTTTTTCAAGGACAGTCATACAGCGTGGTGGTATTCTTTTAAAAAAGCCCCGGCAACTTTGTAGCTTTTATCAAATGCTGTAAAACAAGCATTTTACATAGGCTGCTACAAAACGCCTTTTGTGTGCAGCTGGCTGGTAACCTGGAACAGTCCAGGTTTGTATCCTTAATGGCTCCGTGATCTGTGAATCGGAGAGAGAATGAACCATGCAGTTAGATGGATACCAAACTCTTGTTTTCCGTGTTTTGAGGTGGGCTGGGGCAGAAGGAAAGAATCTTGTCCTTCACATAGAGAATGCATTTCCTAGGTTTAGTTTATGTTTGTTTCTTTCGTAGGATTTTTCCAGTTAAAGATGTACCTGCAGAGCCTGAAGCTCTCACACACTGGCTGTATCAACGGTTCATTGAAAAGGAGGATCTCCTGACCCACTTCTATGAAACAGGTAGGATGATACCTAGCAATGAGAGTGGTGCTTTGATAATGTCTTTTCTTACAAGGATCTCGAAATGATTTAAGAACACGTATACATTCCTCACATAAATTATTAATACTTTTTGTGTGGCAAAAAAGTATGATAAAAAATTATCTAGGAAAGGTGAGTTACCCTGGTGACACTAGAATAGGGTAGTATTTGGAAGCTGGCATGTTCAAAATGGATCTAAGGAAATCGTCTTTCTGCAATAACATGTAGTTCAGCTGTGAAACCTGCTGCCACAGGATTTCATTGAGTGGAATAATTTAGCAAGATTCAAAGAGTTAGTGAATATTTACATGCAGAGTAAAAGTATTTAGAGCTCATGTTAAGTTTCGAGGGGATATAAAATGAGCGACTTCTTGACTAAAAGGAATTAAATAAGAGTCTTATGCGATGCAGGTTACTTTATCTGCTTAGTGCGGGTATTGAGCGTGTTCCTCTGGTGCTTGTACGGTTAGAGAAAACTGATTTAAGTAGCCTGCAGGTCTAATCCAAAACCATAGTCCTCTTCTTTTCCTGTTAAGCTAAACAGAAAGATGCTATGGTTGAAAGGATCTGTGAGAATTACATAGCATAAAGTCTCTGGAGTCTTGATCTGCAGCCCTGTGCCGTAAGTACTGGCCTCCTTGCTGTGAGGTTCTGAGGATCACTTCCATCATAATGTACTTCTAGTGTTAGTGGAGCAGAGGAATCTGAATAAACTTATGGCATTAATAACATTACTGAAGGGATACTGGCAAATAGGATTGAAAAGATCAGGTAAATACTTGGAAACAATAGCTGAAGAAGTGTTTCCTCAAGGCTCTATTTTTTGATATACTGAAGTATGTTATCTGCCCTCCAGCAGGGCTGTAGAAGTGTTTCCTCAAGGCTCTATTTTTTTTTTTTTTGCCATCCAGTTGATACTGAAGTATGTCATCTGCCCTCCAGTAGGGCTGTGTGTGCGTTCAGAATACAAAACAGGAATTCATCAAAAAAAAAAAATCCAGAGAGGAAAAAGTACAGTTTTATTTAGACATACAGGAAAGGAAGTTTATCAAACACAGAGTAGGAAGACTCCAGATGAAATAATGCAACTTGTCTCTGAAGAAAAATAATCTCTAAATTAGCAAGTAGCATAGTTGTTGGGGGGGGAATATTCAGTCTCTTGAATTAAACCAAGTTTAGTATTCCATAGTGACTTTGTTAAACAAAGATGCTACTTCTGTTAGATTATTTATTGCAAAGACAGCTTTAATTCAATTTTGAGTGCTTAATTTATCAATTGTAGTGCTTAAAAAGATTGATAGACTTATTTAACAGCCCAGAGTTGTATTTTGCTTTATGAAATACTGCTGTCGCTCAGCCATCATTGATGGCAAAAGTCAGACTCTGCTGTCTAAATTGCATCCAAATGCATATATTGGACTTAGTTAGACAAATAGCTTTGTGAATCTGTTTAAAACTACTTGTGCAGTCAGTAGGATGTAAGGCATTCTTGTTATTGAGACATTATTTCACGAATACCATTAAAATAGTCATGCCCAAAAAATCTAAGTACACCAGAATTTCAGAGAGTAAAATTAATATAATCAGGTTTATTCATTGAAATGTGCTTCAAAAATAGGATAATTGGTTATAATTTACCAGTGTAATCAGTATGAATTAATAAGATGTGTTTTAAATTTAAATGCTGTGACATAGGACCTTATTAGGCATAAATTAGCATAAATTAAAGTTGCTGCCATTTATACCAGTTGAGAAGTTGCTTGCATTGCTTTTGTTGGCTTACTGCAAAAGTGCTGTTACAGTTTTTGGAAACCCCCTGGAAAAGTCCTGAGGCCTAATGTGAGGGGAATAAGAGCTGGCTTTGTATTGACATGTTACATTATCTCAAGTTGGTGTGGTTTTAAGACTTAGGGCTGTGTCAGTTTTTTTTTTTGTTTTTGTTTTTTTTTTTTTAAATGCACACTGGCTAGGAACTTGTCTCAGCTCATAAAGCTTGCTTCATAAAGCTGGAGTAACATTTAATGCTATGTGAAACTTTAAGAGTTTGTATTGACAGTATCATTGGTAGGAATACATTCTTTTGGCATATTTTTATTTGCAAAGAGGAAGAAACAAAGCCTAAAACACCTTTCTCCTTTTTGCTGTATTCCTAAGTGTTAAGAACTTTAATGGATCTGGGGAACACCTGTAATGTTAGACATCTTAAAATTAAACCAGAAGATGTATCTGCCTAAAGTTTGAATATCAAACTGTTCCATCCTTTCTTACAGGTCCATTTTACACATTTTATTTATAAAATTAAAACCATTTACAGTTAATATCTGGGGTATAAGCAACACAAATACTCCTATTTTAGCAGCTAGTGGAAAGCTTGTATTGGCATGTTCATGATTTCTCTGAAGTCTTTTTGCAGGATAACCTTGAACACTGCAGTAACACAAATTAGATTACATTTAGCCAGACAAAACCACTTAGAGACTAATTTAAAAAACCCTATAAACTAAGAGCTTATCAGTTGGAAATGGATAATTGTAAACAGACGTCATCATGCTCCTCATTCACTCTGATTGTAAGCCAACTGGTGTGATGTAACTAAGAAAGCAAGCAATGTCATCCTGCAGGGCAACAGGAGAGGGTTTTCACCAGTGCATTGTACCAAATCTGAAACCTCATCTGGAAATTCTGTGTACAGATCTGTCATCCCCAATCAAGAAAAATTAATTGAACCAGGAAGAAGGACAAATAATAGGTGCTAAGACAATTAGGGGGAAGAAGGCATCACTTCTGTGAAGTACAACTAAACGTGCTTGGCTTGTCTTAGTTAGGAAAGTGAAGGATCATTTTCTCTGCGAGATACAAGCTGGCTTGGGAGAGGAGGGGGAAGAGACAGTTGCTATCAGTACCAAGAAAAAAGGGAAGTTATTTACACCAAAGGTCAGTGCTGGAACAGGAAAACATAACCCCTGTTTTTAAAAAGGGAAATAAGGAAGACCCGGGGAACTACAGGCTGGTCAGTCTCACCTCTGTGCCTGGCAAGATCATGGAGCAGATCCTCCTGGAGACTGTGCTAAGGCACATGGAAATAAGGAGGTGACTGGTGACAGCCAACATGGCTTCTTTAAGGGCAAATTGTGTCTGGCAAATTTAGGGGCCTTCTATGACTGGGCTACAGCATTAGTGGATGAGGAAAGAGCAACTAACATCATCTACCTGGACTTGTACAAAGCCTTTGACATTGTCCCACACAACATCCTTGTGTCTAAGCTGGAGAGACATGGATTTGATGGAAGACCATTCGGTGGATAAGGAATTGGCTGCATGGTCGCACTCAGAGCTGTGGTCAATGGCTCAATGTCCAAGTGGAAACCAATGACAAATGGTGTTCCGCAGGGGTCAGTACTGGGACCAGCGTTGTTTAACATCTTTGTTGGCGACATGGACAGTGTGATCGAGTGCACCCTCAGCAAGTTTGCCAACGACACCAAGCTGTGGTGGACGCGCTGGAGGGAAGGAATGCCATCCAGAGGGACCTGGACAGGCTGGAGAGGTGGGCCAATGCCAACCTCATGAAATTTAACAAGGCCAAGTGCAAGGTCCTGCCTGTGGGTCAAATACAGGACTTGAGAAGGACTTGGGTGTTGGTTAATGAGAAGCTCAACATGAGCCGGCAATGCGCGCTTGCAGCCCAGAAAGCCAACCGTGTCCTGGGCTGCATCAAAAGAAGCATTAGCAGCAGGTCAAAGGAGGTTATTCTCCCCCTCTACTCTGCTCTCGTGAGACCCCACCTGCAGTACTGTGTCCTCTTCTGGAGTCCTCAACACAGGAAGGACATGGACCTGTTGGAGCGGGTCCAGAGGAGGGACACGAAGTTGGTCAGAGGGCTGGAGCACCTCCCATATGAGGACAGGCTGAGGCGGGGGGGTGGGCTTCAGCCTGGAGAAGAGAAGGCTCCAGGGAGACCTTATAGCAACCTTCCAGTACTTAAAGGGGGCTACAGGAGAGATGGGGAGGGACTCTTGATGAGGGAGTGTAGTGATAGGAGGAGGTGTAACGGCTTTAAGCTGAGAGGGTAGATTCAGATGAGACATTAGGAAGAAATTCTTTACTGTGAGGGTTGTGAGGCACTGGAGCAGGTTCCCGGAGAAGGTGTGGATGCCCCATCCCTGGAGGTGTTCAAGGCCAGGCTGGATGAGGCTTTGAGCAACCTGGTCTAGTGGGAGGTGTCCCTGCCCATGGCAGGGGTGTTGGAACTACGTGATCTTTGAGGTCCCTTCCAACCCAACCATTCTGTCATTCTGTGAAAAAAAATGGATCATGGAAGAACAAATGTGGTATAGAGTGGACAAACAGAATCTGAGCAGTGAAGAATTACTGAGGAATATATGATGTGGGGCAAATCTGCCCAGGTGTGAAAATACATATAACTTAGGGTTTTGGGGGCTGTTTTGGTTTTTTTTTCTTCTTAATTTAAGAGCATTCATACATCAAGAACAGCTTTGTTTTAAATGTTGGTTTGCGGCTTCTCCAGTGATTGCAAATGTGAAGCACAGAGATAAGCTGCTGATGGCATCTAATCGCCAGAATTGTGTGGTTTCTAAAATTCAGAATTGATGCTGCTGTGTCTTTACTCTTAGAATCATTCATCTCTTGTTCTTCTGTGAGTAGTTGCAACTCCATAATGCTGCAGCAAGTACATAATCTTCTCTGGTATATTTAGAGTTTTTCTATCCACAGTTCAGGATTAACAACAACAATGAGGAAGTGGTTCCTGTCATTGAGGCTTCGTGCATGTCAGTAAAATGTAACGCAAATTATTTAATATGCTGATGTAAATATATGCCAACAATTTACTTATGATCGTAAAGCTCTGATATGTTCAGACACATGTAATTTAGTGTTGTAAGTCAGAAAATATCAAAATAGGGAAAAATGAATTTTTTTAACATGTCAGCTGTACCTTTTGCCAGCCTTTCTCACCTAAACAGTCATTTCAGAAAAGTCTTTCTGGAAAACTGAATAGCAACTTGCAATGGTTTCTCAGACTGTATGACTGACCGGCCAATGAATGTGCAAACATCATAGGGCAACTATTGTTTAAAAAAAACTGTGTGTGTATCTGTACATATATCTTCAAGGGGATCCTTGAGAGTGTACATGTGTTGGTTCTTCACAGTATACAAAATCATTACCAAACAGTTGTAAAGTTTAATGTGGAGTCCATTCCATTTGATCATATGGACGTTAACATGACTTCAAAAATAACACAGAAAGTTTAGTTGACAGTCAGATTTCCTTGCAAAGGTTGATGACGGCTGCTTTTAAGGAGTGCTTTGAAGCTGATGCTTTAAGTTTATATCCAAATGAAATGAAAATTGATCTTAATAATAAAGAAAAGGGGTTTTTTATTATTTTCTTGAAGATAACTGATAATGCTGGCAAATCTTTTGAAAGTGTAATAGCATAATACAGAAGTAACTAGTTAATTGGTTTTGGGCACTGTTTCTGGGACAAGCAGTGATGACAATCTTGCATTAAGGCTATCGTTCCTGCTGCAGAAGCATTAAATGTGGTTTGTTTTTTTTTTTCTTTTTTAGGAGCTTTTCCTCCACTGCAGGGTCAAACAAAAGCTATTTCTCGGGACATGACCCTCAGTAACCTGTGGCTAGTTGGCATACAATCACTTGCGTTTTTGTCAGGCGGTATGTGGTACTGCATCTTTCAGTATTTTTATCATTGCTTATTTTAAAAGTGGAATGGGACCTGAGGACACAATGGGAATCCAGGCTCCTGCAAATGAATATCATGTTGTTTGCGCAAATGTGAATATTCAAGAGTAAAGGAAGATACTGGATGGACTCTCACCTCTCTTTGGGGGAATTTTAAACTCCACTAAAAGTGAAGATCAGTAACATAGTGACCTGATGATGTATTATTTTAAGAATTGTCTGTATTTTTAAAAATGTATACTCTCACCCACACTTAAACAAATTCAGCATTTGGACAAAAGGTGCAATCGTACGACCACCGTAGAAGAATGTCTGTGACAAGAAAGCTCTGTCACCACAAGTATTTCTTGGCATTGTAGTTAGAGCTCAAGAAAATTCATCAACTTGTCTCTTCAGTAGTCTGTACAGCATCAGTGTGGTAGAGATTCCTCGTTTGCACAAACTTGTACTTTGTTGCAACTCATTGTGCTGGAGTCAAAGATACTCAATGGAGCTGGTGGCAGTATCTTTGCAGCTACGCAGTCAGCAGTTGTTGTATTAGACACATTGATCTAAAACCAAGACCCAAATAAGATCCAGCGTCAGGTGTGTTTTGTGAGGAATTGGTCCTCAAAAAAGCATTGCAGCATCGTAGTGTGATTAAAAGCTATCCACATTTGATGAATCAGCCCATCCCTGCTGTGGTCTTACCATCAGCTCTCCAAATTCCATGTGCTACTAGTATCTTGTATTATGAGGAAACTTGGAAAATATAAAGTCATTTGTTTTACTTTCCCTTTTTGTTCAGAATGCATCTCGATGATCATTATCAGTTTTCGAAATGCACTTTTAAACATGAAAATACAGTGAAGGAAAGACATAAGACTTAGGGAATAGGGGAAAGCTTTATTTGTCACGCCTTGGAAGCTGGAGCAATTCTAGCTGTTTCTGAAGGTCTGCTGGTGCTGCTGCTGATTTTTAGCCACCTTTGTATTTTGTATACTGCAGTCCAACCAAGGTGACCTTTGAGTGGTTTATAGAGGCCTTTTTCTCCCTGCTAGTTGCAACAGCACTGAATATACTTTTGGGAGATTTTAAATAATTCAATGCCAACCATCTTAATGTTTTGCTAAGGAGTAATAGAAGAAAAACTAGTTTCTTAAAAAGAAATAGGTATAATTGCTATCATAAATCTATAGGAAGATAATACTGCAAACAAAAAAAAGCCACCTATGGTAAATACTCTGAATAACTATATGGAGGGCAGTATTACATAGCTCACCACTGTGCTAAAATCTTACTGGAAGGAGGATGAGTTGAATTTAAAGGCAAACTGGAACAGAAGACACTTTCAGATGTGTAACACAAGATACTTTTGAAAGGTTGTCTATGATGTACGGTCTTATTTCTGGCAGGTCTGGTTGACATTGTGTTTATGTGATTATACACAGATTTGAGAGAGCTGTTCCTAAAATAAAACTAATCTCTCTAAATACAAGCAGGACAGCCAGAATTCAGATGTTGGCATACTGCCTTTTACAGAGTAATTTTACTGAGAACAAAGTAAGCCCTCAGTAGTTTTGGCTCTGAGTTCGCAATATTGATCTCCCTTCTCTCTCTCTCTCTCTCCTGCTACATGAATCACAGTGGATGGTGTGCAGAATACAAAACCTAGCCAGTGTTTTCTCTGCAGAGGAAAGCTAAGAGCATGCCAAAACAAGAGGCAATGCCAATTTCCCTCACTTAATGGAAAAATACCTAGTCAAATATGCCATCCCTGTCTCCTCAAAAGCAGTAGTTTTACCCTGAGGTAGCTCAGTGGGAGCGTTGCAGACCAATACACCATAGTGAGTTCCCCTGAGCTATGAATCCCCCCGCTGACTGAAAAGAACCAGTGCAGCTGGCAGGCAAAGGGCAGTGGTTGCCTACAGCTTAATGTTTTAGGTAAGATACTGTTTCTAAATCCCCTCTCTTTACACCCAGTCACACACCTGAATTCTGGTGTAACATAAAATCCACTTCAACAGAGGTATGCCCTGAAAGGGAGGCAGTCTTGGGAGTATTCCTTTTTTTCCTGTTGCTTTTGCTAAAGTACCACTGATGGAATGAATGTATTTAATCTGCCATTTTACAGGAGGGTGTTGGGGCAGCCCAGCGCCGTTGCCGTGTAAGTGGTTATGTCTGCTCACGTGGGCGTAAACGGACTCTTAAAACTGCAAAATGCAGATGGCAAGCTACTCATTTCTGTCCTCCACCAGGTGGTTTGATAGAACTGCAGAGATGCCCATAGTACAGCTGCTTTTATTTTGAGCTAGGACAGACTGGAGTGATATAAAAAGGGAAGTTTATATAAGCAGATTGCACAGCAGTAACTCACATCAGGAGGTTGTTCTTTATAGACCCTGTGAACTCAATGTCAGAGCATACTGTTTTTTCAAATGCAGTATATTTTTTTTCCAGTGGATCGCAGTCAATAGTGAGTGTTCACATGCTGCCTAAAGAAATTAGTAATGCGCAATAATGTTTCAGATAATTTGATTTATCTGGTCCTGTTCATTTTCAGTTTGCTCCTCTGTAGTTCTTACTATTGCGAGACATTTGTTTTCAAGCAGTGATTGTTGTTTTGGTAGGATGAGTAAATAGTATCAGGTCTTGGGCTTCTTTCCTGCCTGCACTGGAAAAATGTGAAGAGAGCCTGACATGTCTCCTTAACGGCTGAGTTGCTGTAGATGACAGTGGAATGAAACCATTGTTAAGAAACTCCAAAGTACCCTCCCGGCATGAACTTGGATGCTGCTTCATGAAAGAGAAGAAATTGGGTAAAAGCAGTTTTTTCTATTAAGGGAAAAACATAAAAAGCATACAGTACATAGGAAATTCTGTGCTAAAAATACCAAGCTGGTCAAGACTGTTTGGAGCTCAGCAGGCTAGTTTGTAAAATGTCAATTCCTGTCGGTTGCAGTTCGGTTCTACCTTCTGGCCATTGGTCAGTGTTACAGTTGTAGTGGGCATTTTGCTGCACCATCCATGGGCTTCCTCCTCTGAAGAGTTCAAAATGTGTTGGATAGAAAATTATGTTAATGAACCATACAGTTGATCACGAAATGGTTAATTAATATAACTTTGAATTTATATTAGCAGAAATATAATGGAAAGATGTATAAAGTGATACAGAATTAAAAAATTACAGAAAAAACATTAACTGAAAGCTGTTGCGCACAAAAATGGCAACGTAGCAATTTGTGTCTTGCAAATAAAGATGGTTCTGTACCAGGGTTGCACACAGAACATCTGTACATTTCTATTTTTAATTGTCCATAAGCAAGTGGTCACAACTGAAATGATGTAAGTTCTAATGGTGCAGCATTACCGCTCTTTGAATCCCATTACATGAAGAGTATCTGCCTGTTCGCAACAAGCAATGTTTTCTTCAGTGCCCTTTGGTGAGTGCACCTTCCTGACAGGTTCTCTAGGATTTTACGTACGGTTCTATCAAGCTTTTCAACAATGATGTCTCTTGCAGGAGGGATTTTTTTTTTTAAGTTGCTCTCATCAGATTTTGAAAAGCAAGACTGCAATTTACTGTGCTTGCTGGAAAATTAAAAGCTTCCTTTTCCCTCCTCCACCCCCAGCATCAAAAATAAGGTGCATCTTATTGCAGTAAAAATATAGTGATCACTGTGGTACTGTTCATTATTCGCTTGTTTTGCAAATGATATAACTGGGGTTTTTTTCTGTCTGACACTGCCATAAAGTGCTGTTAACTTTTTTCACCTGTTTGTACAAGATATTACAGATACCGATCACTGTGTGTGACAGGATTCAACTGCTCCACTTTGCCTTGACATAAAATTTTGGGACCAAAGGTACTTAAAACTTGGATTTCCAAATCATGAGACCAGGGTTGGGTGCATTCTCTTGACAGTCAGCTGGAGATTTTTGTAGTGATCTGATACAATCACACAAAATAATTATACATCTGGGGTACTGCATTGTTTGGAAATAATGGAGCCATAAAATAAAGAGTTATTTTGAAAAATTGCATATTTGATAGTTTTTACACTTTTTAAAAAAAAAAATAACAATTGGAAGAGCAAAATTGAAACCATACTCTGGTTTAAAATGCCTGCATACATTATGAACAGTTCCAAGCAGCTTTATTTTTTCTGTAGAAACTGGAGACTGCCTGGCTGTGGTACAAAAGAAGTCTTTAAAAGGATTCTATGCATTTTAAAGTTAAACCTCTTACTTTATCATTGGATAATGAAGTAATTATACACTGAAGAGCTGTCCTATTAAAGTGAGTTAGTTCCTTAAAATTACTCTACAATGATGTTCATTTTGTATTATAAAAGTTAGTTTTCTTCATACCAGTTATTTTCACCTCCAGTGTTCTCCTTCCCCTCCTGTGTTACCCGCTTTTTTGTTTTGTATGATAAAAAGGATGCAGAAGCCTGTGGTCACTCTCAGTGGTTTTGCAAAGGGCTGGTCATGTTTGGAATTATTTTATTGAATTTATTTAATTGGATTTTTATCAAATCTTTCCCGCAGCCAAGATGTCATTCAGAAATGTAGACAGATACCAGAAGCGGCATTTCTCAACAGAGATGATTAGGTGTCTTTTCCCATTATTTCTTTTTGTGTGGCAAAAAATAAAGTTGATTTTTTTTTCAATATTATTTCATGTGCTTCTAATCCTTAATAGATGAGGTGATTTTCTCTGGTTGTATTTATTGTGCTTATATCTGATAGATACACAATCTCTATTGTGCTTACCATAAACACAAGCAGTAAAATAACACTTTGTTTCTCTATACAGCGCAGTGTTAATTTGTGAGAGATAACGTTGCTTGTTAGAGCTCTCGTCAGGAAGGACACAGAGACAAATGTTTCTATGCCCGAAGTGGTAAGGGGAGGAGTGGAGCAGTGGGGAGGAGGGAGGAAAGCAGCTTCTGCAGCCCTTGCTCACTCCAGCACCCGCTGGAAACTTTGCTGGCGCCCAGGCTGCAGAGTTTCTCCGCATGTCACTGCGTAGCAATGATTCCTCTTGAAGTTTCTGAGAGTTGAGGGCACGCCAAGAGTGGAACCCAGGCCCCCATCAAGTCTGGGTTGCCACCGTCCTTGAAAGCTGTGAATCCAACCTTTTTGTGAGCCAGGCTGTAATCGTTTTGTAGATACGTATATTTTTTAACAGAGTGGTCTGGTTTTTAACTACTTCAGCTAGGCAAAGCAATATTGAGTAGAACAGCGCCGTTCATTCTGTGGCTCTGGCATCTCTCACTAGTGATAGCTCTTCACTCTGTGTCACCTTTCGTGTTAACTGCTGGTGTGTAATACTGCAACATGTAACAAAGACAAAAGGAACTCCTTGGAGCATAGTAAGACATCTTGCACAATTTCCAAAACAGCGCCATGGTTGTAGTTACATCTACCTCTTTGTTTCCCTTCTGGGTTTTTTCTTGTTTTTCTGTGTGGTGTCTTTCTGTGAGGGGTGGGGGGGGGAATTGGGGAGAGGGAGGAAGTGGGAGGGAAAACTTGAAATCTGAGTAGAAGACACTGGTGGGGGATCCAGTGCTTACCAGCTGTGTTGTCATATTGAAAAAGCCATTGTTTTTAATTCCTGCCTAGTATGAAATGTTTGTTTGAAAAAATCCTTCCTGCCAGAAAGAAAAATGTATTTTTAAAAAGAAAAAAAAAATCCCTCTTTTGGCTGTGAGAGTGTCAGCTGTATGAGTTGTGACTGTATCATGACATGCTGATCAGATATAAATAAATTTTTATCTCTCAGGACTCCATCTTGTATTTTTACTCTTCTGGTAACTGTTACAGGTTTTCTGAAAGAATGCTCTGCATTTTTAAGTATCACTAATTTCAGCTGAGGAAGCAAATAAATAAGGTATGTGAATGTCATGTGTGCACACTTGAGTTTACAAAGAAACATCTCTTGTTGATTTAAAAAAAGTCACGCTGTGAAATGTCCTGGAAGGCTTCCTGCAGGTTAGCTCAGGGCACAGGGGAGTTGCTGCTACAGTCAGGATCCAGTTCCGGGTGTTTCTCTCCCTCTGTCCCTCCCTGCCTCTTAGAGCTGTTGCGAGCTTCAAATATATTATAAAACAGAGTGCTTAGCCCATGGGGTGCGCAGAGAGAGCATATAACTTTCTAGCTG